TGCATTCTAAACCGAATGTTTATTTGTTCTGTATCAAAAAATAATGTATAGAATTGCGAGGTGATACAAGTTCATGATAGTTTCAGTTGAACAACAATGTACACAAATATCGAAATGGCTAGTGAGAAAATCAGGTAGGTTCGAGCAGCGATTTTCATTTTTTTTTTATTCTCTGGATCCTTTTAAGAAATACACAATTTCGTATTATTCCAACGTTTACATAAAGGTTTGGGATTGCAATTGAGTTTTGTTATAGGTTTAGGTTTCTGTTTCTGTTTCAGATTAGGATAAGGGTGTTCATGAATTTCGCCTGATTAAAGCGGTGACTTACCAGTGGTTGATTGCGATTGTCCAGTGGTTGTGACGGTGGTCATTGGATCCGCTAAATGAGTTGAAATATTAAGACCGAACAAAATTATCATTATTCGTGACAAATGGGCCTGCCAAGAAAAGCTAAACTCTATTTTAATTTGTTCTGTATATAAATAATAACGTATAGATTTGCAAGGTGATACAATTACATGTGATAACATTAGATGAACAACAGCGAGCGATGAAAAAATTAAGATACTTTAATGACATGAAAATGTTATTTCCTCAAAAAAATACATACCATTTTTCGCGAAATTGGCGTTATGTATAAATGAATTATTATATATCTTTATTTCTCTCGCGGCACCCCTAAACATGTCATGCGGCACGCTGGGTTATAAAAACGCTGAGTTATAGAAAACTTTTACAAGCGGATACTGCAGAATGGGAATTTAGCTGGGAACAATGATAATACTGATAATAAAAAAATCCGTTTCCTTATAGCACTTTATACATTGATTATGTCTTTAAGGGTTTTACAGATATATTATTACCAGTTACCCAGTTATCGGATTAAAGGACGTTAACGTAATGCAGGGCTAGGGTTCGAAACCTCAACCGTTTCATTGCGAGTCAAGCTAATGAACCACTACATCACGACATCTCCACTTTGCTTTAATATGTATCGGTAGGTTAATTGTGATGACTTATTCATCATGAGTTTCATTATTGAGGGCGTTGTACAGCTGCCACCAACACCACCGTGACTGTCAATTTCTCACAATGTATCATGCCATAGTAAACACATTTTTTTGGTGTTAATGTGGACAATACAGTACAAATACTAGCGAAAGCACTATTAACCATTAATGTGTCTGTTACAAATAAATGGGAAACAACCTGTTCCATTCGAAAGTATATCCCTCGTTACAGGTGCACGTGAATGTTCTGGGAGTGTTCGTAAATGCAGAATTCGTGTAACAATTATGCATGCGGGTTTAAATAAATGAACAGTGTCTCAACAAAGTCTCGTCACTCGTAGATTCCATTATTTTAATTTCTTTCTTTTCTTTCTATGATTTTCATTCATTTTTTCATTTATTTATTCATTATTTTATATATAGATATATATTGGGGTGTAGGGTCCGGAACTGCACATAACATATCACAAATTATTTATCTGGTCTCCCTTATGCAGACATGTATATGTCTGTTCCCTGCTCTCTTTCTCAATTTTAATTACTCATGATCTTAGTATCTTTCCATGGATCACCCTGTTGTCGATAGCACATTTTCTCTTGTTTCTCTCAATCTCCCATGTCATTTTCCTCTTCTTGTTCCCCTTTCCCACTTCATTTATGTTTTATCAGTTATTACAACTACATGTATAACGCCTATTTCACCAACAAGCCTTCACCTTAATTTAGAAACTTCAATAAAGTTTTCCCTCATTCAGTTTTCTGACAGCACTGTAAGTATAGTGGTGAAGGCTCAGAGATCCTATATTATACAAAAGGTTTCTCAGTCGAGATTTTTGTGTGTCCACATTTGTCCCTCTTTATCGAGGTGTACGGGTACCTAACAACACCAGGGTACTAATAATTGCAGGGCCAGCAGCAGACTATTTCCAGGGTAAATGAGACCAACATATTGAATTGAGACGATCGTACAGCTTTTTTTCGCAAGATCAACGTTAGGCAAGAGCGATAGCCTTGTCCCCCAACTTTTGAAATGTGCGAACGTTGCAATGACGTATTTCGTAATCCAAACAAGATTTCTGTGGGAAACTGGACATTTAAATTGTCCCTGGGTCGATTTTTGTAAATTATTTGCGAAATGTGAGCCAATTTTTCATCGGGTACAACTTGTATCAAAAACTGCTAATTCTTAGTTTGAGTGCAATATGGCACAGGTAGCTCACCAGAACTAAATCCAACTAGTGGGTGTGGAGCAAAAACAATCCTGATGTCCTCTATGTCGAACTTTTCTGAAGCGGTTAAGTTCACCTGCGTTAAAAGTATATAAATTGCAGAGTAAGACTATTTTATTCGCCTTTGCCTTGCCAAAGTTTTTTTTACAGTTCGAGAGGGTCGATAAAGATACATCCGAACATTATACTATTTGAATATTTTGTTTAAAATGAATAAAATGGAAGCAAACAAATATATAACCTTCAATTTGAATGGAATAAGATTGATATGCAAATACATGGAGATATTGTTGATTTTGAGACATTTATCAAAGCATGATAATGTATATTTGCAATATTGATTTCATAAAATGTTTTGGTCCATTTGATCATAACAAAGTGAGATATGTAGAAACAGATTACATGATGTGTTTTAACGATGATGATCACTATATCACACGGTCATTACGATTATGATTCCAAACGCATGATTGGCCCATTGTTAACCAAAGAGAAGGCCTTGTAGATTGGTTATTTTATTTTTCTTTCCTTCCCAACTCTCGATTTTTGTTGTCCCACTTTTGCTGTTTTCTCGATTATGTAAAGGCAATTCATATCAATATAGAAAACGTTTATTTATTATATTCAATTGTATGTTTATGTTTGTATTACACATTTGTAGAAAGAAAAAAAAAATTGAAGAAAAAAAAAAAGAAAAAAAAAAGTGTGTGTATGTGCGTAGGAGGGGGTGTTGACTTGAGTCCCCCGTATTCATGTCACTGTAAACATTACCAGTAGTGTGTTGTTCGTACGACTGCATGATGCAGTCATTAATAAGGACGGGAAACTGAATCCATTGACTCCATCGAATTCCCAGCAGATGATCGTCAAATATTCATCATTATTCATTGATGATCCTTGGTTGCAATAATCAAACGTAACCAGCACAGTGTCAAAGGAGGATGGTGTTGAATATGAGAGTTTTGATGTCCAGTCACCATTATCTAGAAGAAAGAGCAATTAAAAACGAATAGGTACATGTATATGAATCCGGTGGTTTCACTTAATGATGACTTTAATAGTTTATGCATGATAGTTACACATTTCGCCAAAAAGGGGGTAGTTTTCGGAGGTGTTCGCAAACATTTCATTGTGGATTTATTGTTATTTTTAAAGATGATGATATAGTTAGGCCTATATCGACTGCTATGAGAGGCATCGCTGTTTATATAGGCTCAAGGAGACAGTACATCCTGATATGACCCCTCGGCGAGCCGGGCGTCCCAGAGAGCCCTTTATAAACAGCTATGCTTCAAATATTAAGGCAGTCCATATATCTTTTATATACCGAATTCACAAAGAAATCTACAGGAATTCTTACCTTATCCTTTTCTTGAGTAAAGACTGGTTAAAACATCGCATTAAAATCTCGCACAAAGAAACTTTTTTAACACGTTTTAACCGATGGGCATTTCAGCAAAATATATTTATGCGGCCTGTTATTCGGGGGGCGACGGGCATTTTTCTCATTAAGTATTGCCCTTCATCCGGGTAACAGGCATCTTTCTCATTAACGATTGCCCTTCATCCGGGTAACAGGCATCTTTCTCATTAACGATTGCCCTTTATCCGGGTAACAGGCATCTTTCTCATTAACGATTGCCCTTTATCCGGGTAACGGGCACTTGTTCGTTTCTTTACGGGCATGGTTAAAAAATAACGAATCAAATTTCGACCAATCAGATGACTACATTTATTCAACATTCTAATAAACGACCGACAAACGGGGATCAATGTATGGTTTTAGATAGCATCCTTGCAGAGTACTCTTCATTGATTTGATAATAATGTATGTCTTACCCTGTTCGGATGGGCCCACCTCACGTGAAGAATCTGACGGCTCACGGTCGATTGGTTCTGCGTACAAAGCAATATGGAAAAGGGGATAGAACGTAATTTAATGTTTTATACTGACAATAAGCTGTTAAATACAATTAATTGTACATGATTTTGCTATGTACAGTTCTTACAGCGACCTTTTAGTATTTTTTTTTATATTATGGGCGTTCCCAACATGCCCCATAACGAGCCTTAATTGCTTTGTGGTTTTTCGTCCCATATTGTTTTCTGAAATACCAACTTCACTGATCTCTTTTTTGTCACATCGTACCGATAATTAGAAGGAAATAAATGTGAATGTCACCGCAGAACCAGTTCTTTTGATATACGCAATGCGAGGGAAACAAGCACCGTAGTGATATATGCATTAGTACGTCCCAACTGTAGACATCAGCGTTTGAAATTGTTCAACGGTGTCCATTCAACTCTGATCATAGTCAATCCCTTAAATAGGGAAATTCTTATAAACAGAAAGAGGAACCTATACAATTTTGATTTTCTTCTGGGACTTTTGAAGAATTGTGAAGAATTCAAAAGAGATTCAACATAACAAAATCTTAACAATTGCGTTAAACTTTGCCCTGTGCGTGGTTTTGAGGAAATTGGGAGTGGGAAACATACACGTTTACACACAACTACACGCACCCATCCCCAACACGACATGTTTCTTTTTCTTCCACACACTTTGTTACTCAGGGAGTACAATAATGAATTATTTTGAGTTGGAGTGTGTGTGTGTGTGTGCGTGTGTGTGTGTTTGTGTGTCATTTTCATGCGGGTGGGGAGGGAGGGGGGGGGGGATGAGAGTACATTTAATTTCTTGATTAAAATGATGTTCATTTAAATATAATTTTACCACTTACAAGGTTATTGTCACTTTTTAAAAAGGTGGAGGAATATAATCAAATAAATGAAAGAGGTTTCGGTTACCAATGACTTTGGCCGTCCAGGCACTTAGAGTAAATTTCTTGTTCAGCATTTCATCGTCGGAATATGTCGCTTTGATTTCCAACTTTTTTCTCTTTGAAAGAAGAAAAATCGGATAGTTGGATGGATTATTGTCACTGGAGATACCGTGCTCCCTTTCATTCTTATCAAAGGCTTCGACAACGATGCCGTCATCGATGTCCGTTGGAGATACACGAAGAAGAATTCGCCATTCGACTGGGCATACGATCTCGAAGGAGAACAATGCTTTCCCACGCCATGTGTCACTTGCGACACATGTTATGCTGGCGTTGACATCCTGTGAAACGTTTGCAATTACTGTTAGAGAGGGAGAAGGGAAGTAACAGCAATTAATACATATACATATTTAAATTACAGTATAGTGAATAGACTCAAATATGTTTAATTTTTATTAAAAATTGGCTTTCATAAAATGCTACGTATAGAGGTAAATGTGCAAAGTCACCATCCCAGGAACAAAAATCAATCTTTGCCTTTGATTGGCGACAGCTATCATTGGTTATACCACACATTTCTCGTGCCTCCAAAAGTCCCTCCAAACAGAGGAAATTCACGCACAAACACAACAACTAAAACACATATCAGATATCAAAGAATAAGAGTTAATGGGAAACAAAATCGTGATCATTTGAGAAATAAATAATAAAACTACGCAAACATAGTAATAAAAATACACCCCTCCCCCTGCCACAAAAAGGGTGCTGGAAGAAAAGGAGTATGATTAAAGAAAAACGACCCTGGTATGTCGAAGTGAAGAATGGTGTTTACCTCTCTCCGCTCTGCTTGATGACATACGGGATTGTCCAGGAGCATCAGCCGCCACTGTAAAGCTCCTGCTGTCATCATTACCAAGGTACTGACATTGCAGCATTCCTTGGTATAATATTAGAAAACATAAACATAAGCAAAGGGACAGCTCTGCGTGATAAAAGGGGCATTCAGATGCTCCAAATCTCTTAAATGAGCTGTAGCCATTCTATAAAAACATGTAGCTATATATATCAATATAAAGCCTATGACCTCAAAAATTTGGAAAAAATAATTTCAGATTTTTGTTTTACTTAATTGAATCATAAAAACTAGAAAAACGCGAATTTTTTATTATTCATTTTCTCGTCCAAATTAAATCAATAAAACACTTTAAAAATGTTACGTATGCGATTGTAGCGTATCCCCCAAACATAAACAAAAGCTCGTAACCACTACATGGAGTCTATGGCTTTTACTGTATAAGTCTGTTACATGTTTTGATTATTTTCCATGTATATTCTTTGAATTAGATAAAGATAAGCTTTACACAAATATAGGATGATGTTGCTTATTACATGAAAGCTGACGAAACAAATTGTACGGATGAAAGAATTCAATGAAAATTAACACAATTTGTAATTAATTTTTGCGGTCGATATTGCCGGTTATCATTCGTATGCATATGACACTAACCATCAAAATCACATCAAATGTTTCGTATATTGATCAGTGGAGGCTTCATTAAACAAATTTTACAGCATTCTTTGTTGTAAATATAACATATTTTAGCCCTTTTTTCTGGAAATTACTCCTCACATCCACTCGACTTCTCCACTGGCTTCCGACTGTGATTCTCTGCCGTTTAGTCTCTACCCACTCACGATCAAACATATTTGACATGTAAACACGTAATTTTAATTTAAAAAATACAATAATTTGAAGAAAAAAATGCACCCACGATACACTCAATGTCATCGTCACTGCATTCAGACGATGAATACTGCAGATCCAAGTTACTGTCTGGCCTAATTTCACTCATCATTCAAAATGTATGATAATTTGGCTTCTATCGATCCTCTAGCGTGTGTTGATACGGCATTGTGTGAATCCGGAAGTGGCATTGCTTCAATGGCCTTCGTATCATCGAAGCCGCCCAATGTGTCTGATTTCGATTTCGTGTACAGGGGTGGGGTCAAGATTCAATGTTAAATGTTTGATTGTGGCCACACATGTATTTTTAGGGAAAAGATCGACACTTTTCCCTTTTTTTTTTTAGATCACGAGCTTTCATATGTAATGCAATGTCTATTTTAATCAATGTCTACTTTAAAACTTTTATTGCGTGTCTACAACACGTCATGAAAAGATCTTATTAAGAGCAAATGTGTCACTAACACTCGGCGGTATATGTAGGTAGGGGTTAACAAAAAGGAAATTACACACCACACTTACGGATCGTAAACTGACGACGCAAAATTCATTATTTGTGGATATTTAATCATTGAATTGCCTTACATGAATGACAATAATTTCATATTGTATTGTCTGTCTTATTAGGGGTACTCACTCTCAGAAAAATCATTGAGATTTTAAAAACAAATTTTCTTTCATCGCGATCAGAAGAGGGTTGTTTCTTTGTCTCACTAGGGACTTTTAGATTTACACGACGAGAACGTGGACCGCCACGTGTGACATCCTTTTAAGGTAATGTGATGTCCTTTTTAAGGCACTGCCGGGCACGGCCAGGTGCCCTAACACAATGTCGTACGCGGCAGTCCACGCTCTCGTCGTGTAAATCTAAAAGTCCCTATTATTAAATCGAGAGATTCAGTTACAAGCATAACAAAACCTGATTCTGATCGCGATCAAAGACAAATATTTTGTCTAAATTTCGATGACTACTCTGCGAGTGAATGCCCCTAATAAGACAAAATAATAAATTTAAAATGTTGACATTTATATGAAAACTAAGTGAATCAATTTATTTTTTGGGGAAAATTAACAAATCTTATATCGTCAGTTTACGATCCATAACTGTGGTGTGTAATTTCCTTTTTCAACCCCTGACTAACTATGAAAAGGTGCCTAATAATATTTTGCATATTAAATAGTAATATTTTAACAGGTCCCTTATAAATCCGAATCAGAATTTGTTGAAATGTGTGGTTTATTTGTTAAACCTTCTACATGTATACCATGTTTTGATATTGTGTGTTTTGTTTTTCAAAACTATAACATGCCTTTGGTAAAAGTAATACGTTAAATGGCTTATTCAAAATCCATGTCCCTATGTGGGCCATACTCCGTTTTACGCTACCGCCCCCTCCCCATGGTGTACATCAAGGTAGAATTACGAGGAATCCAAGAGAATTCCACATTCTATGATAACCTCATTGGATGTAATAAAATAAAGGTGTTAATGGTTCATTCTAGAAATTTAGGAATCCAGTAATTCATTCCTGTTTTCGGGTTGGGTAGGGGGGGGGGGGTCCAACTATTAAAAAAAATAAAGTCGTATGTAGCAGCCTTTACTATACAAGGGTTTTGTTCACGACCTTTTGTCCCACCCTCCTGAAAAAATAAATAACACAAACAAAAACAGAGGAAAAAACACAAACCACTGCCCCAAAATATGTTGTAAGGCTTGTATGTACAGGCGTAAAATGGCTGAGCAAATGAGAATAACATTCAAGCAATAGACGTTAGCGGTATGAAAAGTTTGCCCATACGCCTGTGTGTATGCACTACTCATAGGGTCATTTCAAACCTAAATTATTTTCATTTGGTGTAAGTAGGAAAATATATCTTTCCACTTTAACATATACTACAATTGATGACCAGGAAATCGTCAATATAAATTACAAATACGATCGATTCATGATGATGCGGATTCGAAATACCTCCAAGTTACTTCCATGAAACGGAAACAACGTGTATTGTGATATACCAAATCAAATCATATATTTTCCACTGTAACACAACTCATATAAAATCAATGACAAATGATATGATAATTATATACGTAGGAGTTATCTTACCACTTTGACACATACTGCCATTGATGACCAGGACCATCGCAAATACAAATTGCAGATACGACGAATTCATGATTGAGGCTGATTCGAAATACGTCCAAGTTACTCCATTAAACGAAAACGAAATGCAGTTCAATAACCACTGCAATGTTTCTGTGCAAAGCTGTGGTCAATGAACCGTTGTGAAACTGCTGTGAAAAGCCTAGTTCGTTTACAAACCCACGAAGGGGAAGTTTTTCTGGGTATAAAAGCGGAAGAGGAAACTAAAAAACAGATTTGTCCTTTCATGATTGAATACATCCCCACAATCGTGATGGTTTTCTGTTGATATTATTACAGGGTAGAGTCAACAGAGTTACTCAGTTATGACTAGATCAAATATGGATATAGAAGGACAATCTGTTAGCCTATACAGGGTGAGTCAGAAAAAACGTCCCACTTTTTAAAAGTTGTATTGTTTGAAGTATGAATATCTAATCATGGGTTTCATGATATGTCTTGATAAAGTTATCCTTCCAGTACATTTTAGGTACCATTTTCATTTAAATCTCTGCATGCATGACTGAACATCAGACAATCTTTACAAGATTGCAATATCTCACTTGCACCAAGTTACTGGGTGAGGAATAAAACAGTGTATTGGACAAAGACAGTCAGACAGACACACTCTGTACAGTGCAGGAAATTCGTTCCAGTTATCTATTTAATTACCATACATGTTATTTTTCCTTTAGTTTCGTAATTTCATGATTACTTTATGATGTGTATTATATCAACGTGAAAAAATTTGATGAACAAAAACAGTGCTTTTGACTAATTATAAACAGTAGGGATGATATAAAGTGTTTAGGAAGTACTGTTGAGAGAAAAAATACAATTATGGATGGAAAGGCGTCAAACCACTTTAAATGAACATGTTTGTTTCAGATGCTGTTTGTAAGTATCGTCTTGCATGGTGATATAGATATACATATATATATATATATATATATGTTTGTTTCAATTTTGTAGCTCCGTTTAATATATATACATTTGCATGATATACATGTACAAAGAAAAGAATAGAAATTGAAATATATCGAAACCCATAACATTGTATGATTACTAAAAGCATTATTTCTATGCTTATGAGGAAATAAAATACCATCAAAAGCAGGGTAAATTAGAAACATCTTTATCACTGCTCTAATGTAGTTCAATTGCGCTATTAAGAAGTACGTAGTGCGATTTCCGGTTCCTGTACCCAAGCATCATCACGCCCCCGTTATGCAGTTGGTGATGTATTGTGGGACATGTCTGTCAACATGTCGGGACATTGTGAGCAGTGGATGGCAGTATACGTAAATCTGAAGTAGATTCAATAAAATTCCCTATCTTAAAAAACATGTGGAAATAGCTCTACAGGTCTTGTGATAATTCATCTAACGGAGTTTAAAGGAAATTGATTATTGTCATTTTTACGCGTAATATAAAGCGGTGTATTCGGATAATGGTCTTATATAAGTTATTAAAGGGCTGTATGCGTGACGTAAATTCGTCATCCCGCTCTCTCTCTCTCTCTCTCTCTAATTATCGTTTCTTGTCGGTCACAAGCAGGAAATAAATGCAACAACTGGAACCTCCATAGATTATTATAGGGGGAAGTATACGTTTTCCGGAAAAAAGGGAATAATATTTTTATTACAGTATCTGTGTATGGGTTAGAATATTCAGGTTTTATAGGTGAAGTAAATTTGCCATCTCAGAAACCACCCTCCTCCTAAATATAAAATCAGAAATCGAAAACAACAATATGATTTAGTAATAGAAGAAGTCGTATGAAGAATAAGAGGAGAAAGAGTAAAAAAAAAAAAAAAAAAAAGTATTATAAAGATTTAAAACATCTCGAATAATACTAAATAGCAGACAAGTATTAGCTCTAGAGATTTGTACTACACTTATCCTTTTATAATACATTATTCGAAACGTAGGCCATACTTTCTGGTAATAGATTTCTGTACATAAACCCCATCTCTGGATGATAGATATGTAATTTCCTTATTTCCTATAGTTTGACAATTTATTGAATATGTAAATGAAATATACAGTATAAAAATAAAGGAATTAATACATAAATGAATGAATGGATAGATAGATTAAGTACATTGGTG